GAGGAACCCTTTATCAGAACAAAAGAGTTCCCTTTTAATCCTATTCTACTAAGAGTTTTAAAACATGAATGGCTGTTAAAATATATCAAATGCTTTACTGGATTTTTTGACATATTAATATGGCTTTTTTTCTTTATTCCATTAATGCTATAAATTATACCAATTGATTTCTGAATTGAAACAAACCTTGTAGTTCTAGAATAAATCCAACTGGATCATTAAGTTTTATACTATTAATATATTATATATAGGTTTCTGTTTGCTTATATCTTGTTTATGATTTTGTGTCAATGTACAAGACTTTGCTTTAATTGTCCTTTCTTATAATGTTCTTATATCATGTTATGGTAGTCACATAGAACAATCTAGAATATGTTCCCTCTTTTTCTACGTTCTGTAAGAGATTCTGTATCAATGCCATTATTTCTCAAATACTGGAAGAACTAATCAGTGAAGTTGGGTTTATAAGAGAGTAAGGTTAAGGACATTCCATTGTATTCGAATTTTATTATGAGTTTTTGTTTTCAAATCATAAACAGGTGTTGAATTTTATCAAATGTCTCAAATATCTTTATTTGTTGTGGTGTCTTACTGAACATTTTGTTATGGTTTTTTCCTTTAATCTGTTAGTGTGGTGAGTAACAGATTATTTAATATTAATATTAAACTGTATGTTTCCAGGATAAATTCTACATGGCTAGAGTGCATCACCACTTCTGAACGTTACTGGACCTGGCCTGGCAGCCATATGTCCTAAAAGAGTAACAGAATCATTAACAAAATTAGCTGGGGCTGGTGTGGGAAGATTTTTTTAAAAAACTACTTTTATGGTTTTAGAATTGCTAAAACTACTTCTGAGTCAATTTTAATGGCTTACATTCTCCTGGGAATTTTTCTATTACTCACGTTTTTAATTCATTGGTTATAAAGCCTTGATACTCTCTCAACATTCCTCTTAAATACCAGATACATCTGTAGCTTTGTCCCTTTTCTTTCATGATAGTTACTTCTGCCATTTTTGGGTTTTTTTTTTTTCCTAGATCAGTACCTTTGAAGGTATGTTTATGGTGTTAAGCCTTTTCAAAAGACTGACTGGCTGCACTGATCTTCTCTGGTTTATCCTTGTTTACAATGTCACTGATATCTGTTCTTATCTTTCAGATCTCTTTTGTTCTATTTCTTTGGCTTTCTTTTATTGTTCTTAAGTTGGCCATTTAAGTTAATTTTTAGCCTCTTTTTTCTACTAAAAAATGAAGCAAAGTTCCTATAGAGCCCTGCCCTGGTTTTATACATCCCACAGGTTTTGATATGAAGTGATTCTATTGTCATTTAGTAGTAAGTATTTTTAAATTTCTATTAATTCTGTTTTAGGTCCTTGTGTTATCCAAAAGTGTATTCCTCAATTTCCAAAAACTTATCTCTCTGTTGTTAACTTCCAACTTCTGACTCTATTGTGAGCAGAAATAACTGCTCCTTGAAAGTGCAGAGACTTGGCTCAGGGCTTAGCACCAGTGCAGTATCTGTGAGCTTCCCGTGTACATTTCATAAGAACATGTGCTCTCCAACTGTTGGATAAAGAATTCTGTATACATCCAGAAGATCAAAACTGATGATTATGCTATTCAAATCTTGTATATTTTGGCTGATGTCCTGCCTGATTGACTTACCAATAACTTAAAGAGTTTAAAACTTCCCCCTGTGGTAGCTGATAATCAATTTCTCCCTGTAGTCTGTCGATTCTTGCTTTATGTATTGAAGCTATCTTATTACGTGCACAAACATATAGAATTTAACATTTTATTAAGTAATGACTCTCTTAAATAATGCTTTCCATCTTGAAGTTTATTCTGTTTGATATTAAGGTAGGTATACCAGCTTCCTTTCAATTCATATTTGTTCAAATGTTTTTTTCCTTTAACTTCTGCTTTTCTTTACAGCTTTATCACTTATTTTTCTCTAAATATTAAATGGTTTAATCTTTTGTGCTTTTCAACTTCATATAAATAAAGCCTTATTAAACTCGGTGTTTTTCTTAGTTTTCAACATCGTATTCTGAAGCCCATTCATGTGTGTGTGAATGTCTGTACTTTGTTGCCACTGCTGTTCAGTACTCTGCTGTGAGAACACTTCACAATTCATTTATCCATCATACTTTCAATAAACTTTTTAATGTTATACCCAGACAGTTTGTTTGCTTTTGTTAATCAAAAGAATGCTGTGAACGTTCTTTTATATATCTCCTGGTACAGATGTGCAAATGTTTCTTTAGGGAATAGCAGCAGGTATGAAACTGCAAGGTAACAGAATACGTGAATATTCCGTTTGACTGATGATGCCAAAAGTTGCTTTACAAAGTGGTGCACCAACTTACCAGCAGTGAACAGGAATTCCCGATTCTTATGTGTGCAAACGTGTTTGACTTGTCAATGTAAGGAGAAATGTCTTTATTGCACTAAGATATACCATTAATGGAAACAGTGTGCCTGTTTACCTAAGTCCTCCTTAAGGGCTTTCAAATTTTAAAACTCATATCCATTTAGGTCTTACACATTTTTGTTTAAAACTACTTTTAATCACTTTACACTTCTTGTTGCTATTCTAATTGGTGTTCATAATATTAAATGTTCTAATTCTTGTTGTTGTACAGAAATGCAGCTTGATTTGGATATGGAGCTTATATGTATAACTGTACTGTCCTAAAATTCTAAACATTTTCCTGAAGGTTCTTTTGGATTTTCTATGCATGAGGGTACTTCAAAACATTTGTGGAAAAATAGAATTAAAAGATAATACAAACCTTCGCATGAACTTTTTGAAGTGCCCTCATATTTGTTTTCTTTGGGAACGGTCAGCTTCTTCAGGTTGCTACTTTGACTTTACCTTGGATTCTGACTGTATTTTTATTTATGTATTTATGTTAATACTTATTACTTAGTAACTTACATTTATTTACTGCATTTTTAGTCTTCATTGATAAAGCCTGGGTTGACTGCACAGTAAGCTGAAGTGGGTTTCTTCTGTACTTCTTGTTCCTTGGAAGGCCTGGTCTCTGGTGGAGGGCTGCCTGTGGGCTCTGTGTAAAGGGCAGGGCGCATAAACCAGGGAGCACTTAGTTCTCCCCAGGAGACTCTCCCTGGTGTTGAGAAAGCAACCTGAACGCTATAGCCCATGATCTGCTTCTGCAGGCATGAGTGTGCGGGCACAGACTGGCTGAGGTCCACAGCAGCTGCTGAGGCCACGGGTCTCATCCCATGTATGTGCTGGCTGCCCGTTAGTGCTTCTCCAGGACCCTGTTCTGGAGAACTCGTCTTACATCCAGGCAGGTCTCCTTAGGGGCCATTCCGAACTTTGGTTTGCTTTGCTCTGGCTTTTCCCTCAACCTGATTCAAGAAACAACACAATTTACGGACCCTCTACTCACACTTCTGCTTGTTTTGCAGTGTTGTTACAGATTCATTCTTTGAAAAACTTCTCCTGTCAGCTCAGTGAGGCTGGGAAAGGAAGACCCTAATATATTTCCTCTGCCTACTTCTTGCATCAGAAGCGCCTCTAGTTGATAATTGGAGTCATCTGGCCTCACAAGTATTACCTCTTCCTGGTCAAGTCCCTCAGCAGCCCACAAAAAACAAGCCCTGACAAAACCCAAACAAAAATCCAACAACTGCACCGTGACTTAACTGCACTAAATTTGCAAATTCATTACAAGGGCTGACATCTAAAGATACTGAATTTCCACTTTTAGTATACCGTAGTATGTCTTTGATGAAAAGGACAAACAGAATTTTGGGCACAGAGCTTTAGGGTGGGATAAAGAGTCTGTAGTAAAGCTCTTTAGGAGAACACTATTGTTAAAATACCAAATGTGCATCTTATGGTTATTTTCTTCTAATAGCTCACAAGTATCATTCTATAATAAACGGATATGTAATTTTTGCCCTTAACAAGCCAGTAGAGCAGTGTTATAAAGGCAGTTAAAAAAAGATTGTAAGGGGCCGACCCCGTGATCTTCGACAAAGGCATCAAGTCTATTCACTGGGGTCGGGACTCCCTCTTCAGCAAAGGGTGCTGGGATAACTGG